GGGTTAGGGTTAGGGTTAGGGTTAGGGTTAGGGTTAGGGTTAGGGTTAGGGTTAGGGTTAGGGTTAGGGTTAGGGTTAGGGTTAGGGTTAGGGTTAGGGTTAGGGTTAGGGTTAGGGTTAGGGTTAGGGTTAGGGTTAGGGTTAGGGTTAGGGTTAGGGTTAGGGTTAGGGTTAGGGTTAGGGTTAGGGTTAGGGTTAGGGTTAGGGTTAGGGTTAGGGTTAGGGTTAGGGTTAGGGTTAGGGTTAGGGTTAGGGTTAGGGTTAGGGTTAGGGTTAGGGTTAGGGTTAGGGTTAGGGTTAGGGTTAGGGTTAGGGTTAGGGTTAGGGTTAGGGTTAGGGTTAGGGTTAGGGTTAGGGTTAGGGTTAGGGTTAGGGTTAGGGTTAGGGTTAGGGTTAGGGTTAGGGTTAGGGTTAGGGTTAGGGTTAGGGTTAGGGTTAGGGTTAGGGTTAGGGTTAGGGTTAGGGTTAGGGTTAGGGTTAGGGTTAGGGTTAGGGTTAGGGTTAGGGTTAGGGTTAGGGTTAGGGTTAGGGTTAGGGTTAGGGTTAGGGTTAGGGTTAGGGTTAGGGTTAGGGTTAGGGTTAGGGTTAGGGTTAGGGTTAGGGTTAGGGTTAGGGTTAGGGTTAGGGTTAGGGTTAGGGTTAGGGTTAGGGTTAGGGTTAGGGTTAGGGTTAGGGTTAGGGTTAGGGTTAGGGTTAGGGTTAGGGTTAGGGTTAGGGTTAGGGTTAGGGTTAGGGTTAGGGTTAGGGTTAGGGTTAGGGTTAGGGTTAGGGTTAGGGTTAGGGTTAGGGTTAGGGTTAGGGTTAGGGTTAGGGTTAGGGTTAGGGTTAGGGTTAGGGTTAGGGTTAGGGTTAGGGTTAGGGTTAGGGTTAGGGTTAGGGTTAGGGTTAGGGTTAGGGTTAGGGTTAGGGTTAGGGTTAGGGTTAGGGTTAGGGTTAGGGTTAGGGTTAGGGTTAGGGTTAGGGTTAGGGTTAGGGTTAGGGTTAGGGTTAGGGTTAGGGTTAGGGTTAGGGTTAGGGTTAGGGTTAGGGTTAGGGTTAGGGTTAGGGTTAGGGTTAGGGTTAGGGTTAGGGTTAGGGTTAGGGTTAGGGTTAGGGTTAGGGTTAGGGTTAGGGTTAGGGTTAGGGTTAGGGTTAGGGTTAGGGTTAGGGTTAGGGTTAGGGTTAGGGTTAGGGTTAGGGTTAGGGTTAGGGTTAGGGTTAGGGTTAGGGTTAGGGTTAGGGTTAGGGTTAGGGTTAGGGTTAGGGTTAGGGTTAGGGTTAGGGTTAGGGTTAGGGTTAGGGTTAGGGTTAGGGTTAGGGTTAGGGTTAGGGTTAGGGTTAGGGTTAGGGTTAGGGTTAGGGTTAGGGTTAGGGTTAGGGTTAGGGTTAGGGTTAGGGTTAGGGTTAGGGTTAGGGTTAGGGTTAGGGTTAGGGTTAGGGTTAGGGTTAGGGTTAGGGTTAGGGTTAGGGTTAGGGTTAGGGTTAGGGTTAGGGTTAGGGTTAGGGTTAGGGTTAGGGTTAGGGTTAGGGTTAGGGTTAGGGTTAGGGTTAGGGTTAGGGTTAGGGTTAGGGTTAGGGTTAGGGTTAGGGTTAGGGTTAGGGTTAGGGTTAGGGTTAGGGTTAGGGTTAGGGTTAGGGTTAGGGTTAGGGTTAGGGTTAGGGTTAGGGTTAGGGTTAGGGTTAGGGTTAGGGTTAGGGTTAGGGTTAGGGTTAGGGTTAGGGTTAGGGTTAGGGTTAGGGTTAGGGTTAGGGTTAGGTTAGGGTTAGGGTTAGGGTTAGGGTTAGGGTTAGGGTTAGGGTTAGGGTTAGGGTTAGGGTTAGGGTTAGGGTTAGG